GCATTAGTCTTGCAGCCGGAGGTCAGTGGGGGCGAGGAGGGAGCGCCGAGTGGGGCATCGACTCCAACATGGCTTCTTTTATAAAGCACAAAGTATTAGATGATGTTTCAGGAGCAGAGCCAGAAACGGTCCGCTTAAACGACAAGACGTAAACAGAACCAGAGCTTTAAGAAGCACACAGCGGCAACACCTGTTCAAAGCTCAGCTAAGCTGCTAGAGGAGTGCAAAGTCATGGTTGGTTCTGTTTAATAAGATTAAACCAGAACCTGCTGTTAACCCATGAAGTCAGGAGCATCTGCTTGTCCATTCAGTCTGAGCAGAGATCAGGTTTGATCTGCAGTGATGAGATGAACTGTGGAGCTTCATTTCCCTCAAACCAAACCTTTACAGACACCTGCTCTGTGTCTGGACCCAAACCCACCTGCAATCCACAGATACATGTTTGGACCAGACCAAGCACAGCGTACCAGCTGTTGAGCACGGAGGAGAAGGGTGATGATGTGGGCTTGTTTTTGCAGCCATGTGACCAGGATCTCCTCTGTATCTTCTGAATAATGCCTTCCTGCTGTCTGGTCCAGGTTCTGACTGACGATGCTTCATCCTCATCTTCTCAGTGCTCAGAGGTGATCCGGTCGGTTCCGTTTCTCCACAGAAGTGACCACAGGTGATCAGTGGGCTTAAGACCTGGGGAGCATCCAAACCGTCTAAGATCTGATATTTAACCCAGTTGTTTCCTTTGAGTCTTGTGACGTGTTGCACATTTGATTTCTCAGATCATCACCAGACTGTTCCTGGACAGCTGAACGATGTTCCTGTTGGGTTTTGATCCAACTCTTTATCCGTTCTTGGGTAGCACTGAGGCAAAGTCTCTCTGATCAGAAGCAACCGGATTCATGGATTAGCATCTTCACAGCATTTGCTTCTTCAGATACCCAAAACAACCAGGAACAGGAATCAACAGAGTGAAGAAATCCTTCTGGACGGATTCTGCTGTCCTGGCAGGAGTTCAGTCTGTACTTGATGGTTTCCTCGGACAGAAGACGCTTCATTGCAGCCCCTCTACTCCAAAACTCTGCCTTGGAAATCCTAAAACATTCTTCTATGCAGGTCAATGGATTTCTGAAGAACCAGAACCAATGTCCTCCAAACATTTCCTTCATGTGTGGCAGTCTGATGGAGCTCAGATGGTCCTGCCACTTTTTCAATCTGCTCCTGAAGGCGTTTCCCAGCTGACAGCCTGGTGGACGTCATTTGATTGGGCACCAAAGTTGCAACATTCATTATTTCCAGCAGCTGTGGTTCTTGTTCTCACTGAACCGCGCCAGAGTTCACTCCTCCCCAAACGATCCGGACTTTCTGTACAAACGGACTGAAGTTGGACTAAAGCATACTGAACATGACTGGTGTGAATGAACCCTCAGATTGACACCTGGAGCTTTCAGAACCACTGTTTGCATCACAACTGTGAGAAGAAAGTGTGAAGGTCAAATGCTCTGAGAGCTGGACTGTCAAGTCATGAGAAACCGTGTCAGTGTGTGAATCTCTGCTTCGCTTTATAAATCTGCTTAGAAAACCCGTGTAAACACTGTCGGTTCCACCCACCGTCACTGAGAGGGGGGAAACTCCAATCTGTTGCTGCTGGGTTTTTTAAGTAACGAACACAGACGGGAAATGACATTAGGAACAGTGAGTACGGATAAGCAGCGCTCCGATTATCTCTTTCGACAGCCTCCGTGGTCTGCCGAGCCAACCTCCCCCGTCCCGTAAAGGATGCATCAAGTCTATTCGGTTTGCAGAGCGTCTGTTAAGCCGTTAGTCATGGGCTAATGAGGCCAAACAGTGTGCGTTTCTATGTAAGCAGGGCTGCATGCACGGCGCTCTGAGCACGTCAGAGGAGCAGTTGCTCTGGAGCATGGCATTAGACTTGCAAAGGGGAGGTCAGAGAGGACGTTAGTGTGAGTGTGAAAGAGAGAAAACCCGGCGAATGTGTGTCTCTCTGTGGGGACGGACTTCTGCTTCATTTAAACTACAGGCGGAAATTCACTGGAGGCGCTGGATGAGCGCGTTCTGACGCTCCCAACAGACCCGCATGCATCGAGGAAAAAACAACAAACTGCAGAAAATTACTAGAAAAGATTTCTGAACCGACTAATAACTGTGAAATTAGACATAGAGCTACTTCTACCAGATGTGCATTTCATTTGGCTAACAGAGGAGAAGACTTGTTTAGCCCCATCTGGAAAGGCCTGCCCTCATTTTAAAGAATAACCTTAAAAGAAAAAATCAAGACGAGGAGGTGAGCTGCAGGAAACGTCTCATGATTCACATCCCAACTGTAAAAAAAGCCAGAGAACAAAATCACTATAATGTCAGAAACCAGTTCACTGATTGATTCCTGAACCCAACAGACCAGTTCAGGAAAACTTACAGATCTCATTTTTTCACCTTGTCTCCACATATCTCATGTCTGAACGGAAACATTCCCAATCCAGAGATAATTCCAGGTCAACTGCAGGAAACCTTCAGTTTCTGCGCCGGTTCTGAGTTGGACCGGTTCTGACATCATCCTCTGGTCTGTTCAGGTTTCCTATCTGCTCAGTTCAAACTAATCAGAGGTTTAAATGAGTCCGAGCATCTGAACTTCAGTCCCAGAAACCAGGAAGAACAAACTCTACAACTAATCTAGAAGAAAGTAGAAGAAGAAGAAAACTACAAAAATGGCTCCCCTGTTGTTTCTGTCAGCAGTAACGATTTATCGTTATGTTCTCATGTTCAGGTGTTAATCTGAACTTTTAAAGCTCCTGTCACCCAAACGCCAGCTTGAATATGGAAGTAAAGTATTTTTCATAATTTTTGTAAAATTATAAAAAACTGGAATCGTTCAGCAGTCAGACAGGAAACCGGATAAATGAGTCTAAAAACCAAAACCAGGTAAAACAGAAAACCTTCAGTGTTCTGGCAGGAGCTATAAATACTTAATAATAATAATAATAATAACAACAACTGATAGCTTCACCCTCTGCTCCATAAGTATAACTATATTTTTAGGGTACTTTCATCATATTTAATCAAAGTCTAATAAAACGAGGAGTGAAGAATCAGAGTATCGTTTGTTGCGTTCACTGATCATCTGGAAAATCTGAGTTTCCAGTTTCATGAACAATGAGGAGGAAATAGATGGATTTAAACAGAAATTAAACAGTTCGGTTAACTAAACAGTCAAAAGCTTCAACAGAGGCGTGTGTGTGTGTGTGTGTGTGTGTGTGTGTGTGTGTGTGTGTGTGTGCAGGTAACGCAGGTAGATCAGCAGCATCCTGAAGCGTCTCATCCATCCTGAGTATCGACAGCGGTGTCTCCTTCTCCCAGCCGTTCGATCCCCGGTTCTCCACTTCCTGCGAGCGCGACACCCGACGCCGCCCGCCAGCGTCTGTCTGCGTGTTTTTCTGCAGTATTTGCAGCGTGCAGGGATCGGGTGGCATGCTGTTCTCTTCATGGCAGCGGTTTTCCAGAGCGGCGCGGTCCCTGAGCGGGTCTCGGGTTGGTGGCCGAGCACAAACACGTCGTCTGGCTGCAGCAGGCCGCTGCTCTCAGACAGGCAGCAGCGATAGCCGCATGTTTACAGCTCAGTCACCCTCTGATGCACACAAACACACCAAACCACCAACACAACACTTCTCACTGCCTTTCACTTCATAACTGTCGTGTTATGAAGTGATAAAATGTTCAGGGGAATTTTCAGACACTTTGAAATTTGAAACCAAGATAATTATTGATCAGCTGCTTTGGCTGCAGAATTAAACACGACTGAAAAACTATCAATGAACAAAAGCTTAGGAGACTGAGACAAACACTGGAACAAAAGAGTTACAACGCCCCCTGCAGGCACGGAGAGTTCACATTCATGCAGCAAATCTTCGCACTCAGTTCAGACATTTTGCACAGTCGTTCCTGCGACTGATTAAATGCGACTGCAGTCAGACTTCTGAGTGAACGTTTACGCCCCCAAAGCGACCCGCATGCGCAGAAGAACGTAGCTGTTACCCAGCAGCGCTCCGTTCACAGCGGTAAAGATGGCCGCCGCAGCGGTAAAGATGGCCGCCGTCTCTGGATGAATTTTAAAGATGTTGAGAGCGACAGCATGGTCAGCAGGAAGCTGATAAACAGGAAGCTAACTGCTAACAGCAGCGGCCTTTAGTGAAGCATTGGCTGCAGCTTCTGAGCCGGTTCTGACCCGGTTCAGTTTGGGTGTTGGGCCAGGAGTGGTCGGTTGGGATGTGATGCGTTCACTGCTTTCATCACTTCATTATCATTTTCAGACATTGATTATGTCCAGATTTATCGTCTGGATTCTTCTGGAGCAGAATTATGATGTAAAAGTTGATTAAATAACATTTACTGTTCATCTTCCCGTTCAAGAATACGCTCCAATTTAAGCTGAACTATTTTATTTCCCAGTAAAACATGAAATAGTTCAACAGGTGTGAATACTTTCTGCAAGACTAAACTGGGGAGGGAACCGAAGCGCGAGAGACGTCTGAACCCGTTCGTCCTGGTGTTCCTGTTCTCCATCGTGTGACGGACCAGTTCTTCAGACCAAAGGTAAAAAGAGCTGCTGCCTCGTCTGACTGAGCCGACCAGAACAGCAGCAGCGTTTCCCCGCAGCGAGGCAGAGGGATCGGACTGGACCCGCAGCGAGGCGGCGCCGCACACAGAGCTCCCTAAGACCCGTTCACAGTGTGTGTTTACAGCTGCACACACACACACACACACACACACACACACACACACATCTAGATGTGAGGCTGTCAATCTGTGTTTACTGTGTGTGGACAGGTTTCTGCGCCGGTTAACGTCTCAAAGAGGACGATTCTGTCAGAGCCGGTATGTCAGACGGCCTGCGTCCGTCTGCTGGTCGCTGCACAGTGGATCAGTGTGGATCAGTGTGGGTCTGGTTGACTCGGTTTGACTCGGTTTGGGTCTGTGCGGGTCGCTGTGCTCACCCATGCTGTTGGTGGAGCTGCACCACATCAGCAGACAGCCGGTGCACAGCAGGTTGAGCGCTCCGAACAGCAGGATCCTCCACGACTGAAAATGACAGAAAACAAACAGAAGAAATGAGAAACATGAGGAGCAAAACGCTCCAGCCTGTTGGTCCAGACCCAGAAAACAACCAGATTTAACTCAATTTAATGCTAACTGAAAACATACAATTAGAAGTCAAAAACGTTTGTTAAAACTATTCAAAGTTAACATTTTACACCTGGAAAATTTAAAATGATACACAAATATGAAGCAAAAAATATTTCCTTCTGTTAGACAAGTTAGTTTTATTTTAGCACCTGCTGGTTTTATTTTGAAAATCTACTACTAGGAAATGCAGTCACCAGTTGCCATGGCGATTCCTGTTTATCCAGTGGAGCCCACAGCATCACTGTTTTATTAAAACTCACCAACACCTGCATGTGTAAACTGCCTATATGAGCTTGTCAACAGTATTTTAAAACTTGACATAAAATAGATGTAAAAACAGCTCCAGGGCTTTTCAACAGTTTGGTTAAAATCTGTTTTAAAATGTTTTTCTATTGGATTCAGAAACAGCATGACATGATAAAAACAGATCAAATGTTTTGTATGAAGCTTTTCAGCCTCATGCTGGTCTTTGTCTGGACCTCCATGGAGAACAGAGTATTTAAAGGTTCTGGTCCAGATGGATGGCAAAGGCAACAGAATGAGTCCGTTTTAGTCGGACCGAACCATCCTGGGAAATCCCAGCTCAGACTGGAATAAGCCAATAATCCAGCTTCACTATCTTTACCTTCACTTTATCCAAGGAGCAGAAAATCACCAAACCTCTTCTTCATTTTCTCTCATTACTAATTTTCCATTTCAGAACCAAAGATCTTATTTTTTATAACGAGGAGATAAAAGTTTTATTTTCCAGTCAGATTCAAACATCAAACCCTTAAAATGAGAATTAATTTATGTTTTTAGCAGGACAGATGGAGATCATCTCCAGGATTCAAAGGTTTTCTGCTCTAACATCCATTCAGCTGCAGTTTTATAAAGAACCTCAGCAGAACCTCCATCAGCCCTGCAGCGGTTCGGTTCAGAGCTGCAGGTACACGGTCCGGTCCGGACTCTCTCAGCAGGTCTAGGTGAATCCTGACTGAAGGAGAGGTGAGTATGTCTGAACATGTCGGCTGCACTCTGACTCAGTTCATGGCTGCAGCTGCTGCAGCCCAGGGGAAGGTCACACTGGAAACGGCTGCAGCACAGGAAACCTGCATCTGCAGGATCTACCGATTTACTCCGCACTCATCAGATCACTAAACCTGCAGCTGTCAGCAGCTGTAAGACCCGGAAATCTGGGATCTGGAATGAAAAACGCAGCCATGAAGCGACTGAGTGGTTTATTTATGACTCAGCGTTTCAGCTGGATCAGTTTAAACCTGAAATACGTTCAACCTGCAGGGCAGCCTGACAGGAAAACTGTTTCCATCCACAGGGATTCACAGACGAAGGGACAGTTCCTCTATTAACCGATCAATAAGAGGACAACAAAACAGGTCTGATCGTTTTTTACTGGATGTGAATCAGGCGAAGCTAAAACTGCAACCAGAGGAGTCCTGGACAGGATAGACTTTAAGGACAAAGAAGGTTTTATCTTAAATTATATTTTTTGTACAGTTTTGTTTCATTACAGCTCAGACTGTGTTGTTCTTTTAGTAAATGGACTTTTTCTTGAGTCTGTGCAACTCTGGAGCAAACAGGTGTACAAAAAGGAAGGAGGAGAGACTTCTGGTTCTGACTTCCTGGTTTTATTTTCCTGTTTAACACTGATTTTTATCTCACTTTCATGTTGATTTTAACCTGATTTCTTCTTTGTTTTATTTTAGTTTTTCCTGGTTTTTATTTCTTGTTTTTATTCTGAGTCTCCTGATTTTATCCACCGTTTTCTCTGCTTTCGCTCCAGTTTTGTCTTCATTTAACCTCAGATTTCTCCAGGAGAGGGCGCTGTGGTAAATTTACACAATTACCACATGGAGCCGAGTCTGGACTCCCACCAGCCCTGATCGTCGCTTTAACCCAACTCCAGTCCGTTTGTCTAGATCAGGGGTCCCCAAACCTTTTCCTGAGGGCCACGTAACTTTCCCCTTCTCTGCTGGGGGCCGGACTCAGTTTGTAACAGAAAAAGTGTGACGATTGCAGGAGTGCCGAAATGTAAAAATGTATTGTTTTCCAGAAAGCACAATCAAATAACCCTCTCTGGGTTCTTCACAGAAAAAAATCCAGGAAATAACACTATTTATAAAATAAATAGTGTATTTTCTGGACTATAAGCCACAACCCCAAAGTGTTTTTAAAAAACCAGTAAACATACACATATAAGCCGCAGATATCTCTGCCGCTCCAGGTTTTCCACAGCGATGCAGCAGCAGCAGAGGGGGGCGGACACTCAAAATTTAAGTCATAACAGGTCAATTGAATATTACATTTATTACAGTTGAAAAAGAAAAAGGTGCCAAG